ATTATGAGCTATGTTCAAGATAAATTCAATTCATATCTTTTACACATATTACTATGAGTTACAACATGCATTTGTTAAATAAATCATTTTGGTAAAATTTACTGATTATTACTAAACATTATAATAGTTAATCATTGTTCGTTGTAGAAAATAACGTAATACACATTCCATTGTATGCAATCGTATATCCATTCACAATTTTTACAAATGTGACAATTTTGGTACCATTTTTGAATTACTGTAGGCCTACTATTCTTAAAACAAATGCACTCTACACACATTCTACTTAATAGTGTTTAAGTTATTCAATTTGAATATTGTCTTAACAACATTGGGCTTTATGAAAAACGACACTTTTCAGCAAGCAGTTAATAGAAAATATTATATTGTAATTCATATAATAAAATGAAATAGATGTGTCCTTTTGATAGCATCTGTGAAAACTGAACAATCCTTACTTCAACAATGCACTCAAGCAACAACTGAAGCAAAACAAACTTTTTAACACGAGTATTAGTAATCGCATAATTTATGATAAGGCAACCAATTCTACCAGGTTCGGTGACATCAGAATCGGGTGCAACGATAAAGCGCCACTTTCTACAATTGACACAGTTACATCTTTCGTCGTAGGGTGAAACAAAATCGTATGGAAAACAAATTCCTTGTGCAAAAATGATGTGTTTTTCAGTTAAATAGTAAAGAAGACCTACCTGCAGTGTACTGAATAAAACCAAGACGAGTAGAGAAGTCATAGCGGCGAGATGTGTTATACTACAGAGGCACAAACTGATGATATGCACCCAACCGCAAACCACTTATATACGGTAGGTTCAGAGCGGTAGGCCTTTTTGAGGACATGACAAATATGATAGACTGTCAATGAACAGACGGCTCAATCATAATGTTCGCATGCGCAGTTGAGGCGATTTTTTGACAATGTCTAGGTGCTGAGATGAGCGGACCAATCGCCTTTGAAAGCAGGTAACCAAAGAAGCGAAACTTAACAATGTCTCTCTTATTTTAGTCATGTAGGGTAATAAAATATAAATTGAATAAGAAAATAAAATTGTCTGTTCTGATGATGGGCGACAAACATATCATCGTCGGTACTTATCAAGTAAAACTACGATGAAATAATAGCCGGCAATAAAGTGGTGCAGACTACTACTCATACCACGAGCTTTCTCGTCATCAGAAAAAGCCTTCAAATAAAACATAGTGAAAATACATTTCATTTGGTTTGATAGTGTTGCTTTAAAGCCAATGTTTTCTGAACAACTCACCCCTAACTGGATAAGTTTGGAGATTGGTTTGTTGAGATTGCTTTAGTGTCAGTGTTTTGGAAAAACTCACCTTGATAGTGATTTAAAAGTTGGTGATCCTTCTTCAGAACTGTTTTTAGTTTGCTCTGTGTTCTTTTAATTATTGTAAATTTTGCAATTTTGATGGAGATGAAATAAAAAGATTTATGAAAATATGAGTAATAAATACATGTTGTTACTGTTAGGATTCTGTTTTGAATCCACTGGAGCTAATGTTTTTTTAAAATACTCACTGTGAATACTAAAAGTTCACTTTTGAGTATTCTTTTTCCAAACACCGTTGTCGGTTTCGTTTGTGTTCTTGTAATTATTGTTTATGTTTGCAATATTGTTTTTATTTGGAGATTATAAATTTAAAAAAATAATAAAATAAGAGTATAAATACATTTTATTATTGAAAACCGTATTTGTTTAAAACACTAAGTTCACTTTTGTGATTTTTTTTCTAAACACTCTTAGTAGAGATAAAACTGAATTAAAATAAGGAGGAACAAACATTTCATAATTGATTTGTCGGAAATGCTTCAACAAGCAACATCTTATAGGGACTGGTGATAGATTGTTTGACAATTCGTTTTAACTGTTAAAAGCAATATTTTTCTTATATCGTTTCATTTCATAAAAAAATGTTTGATTAATTAAATTGCCACTTAAAATGAATGTTCCCATGTAAGCCCAAAATCAGCGTACTACATTTATGGAGGAATCCTATTACATTTGGTGCAAATACTCCCCAACCATTACAGACAGTACAACAATTGAGTGGCTTATAGCAACTATTAATCGAAATGTCTTCCCAAGCCCTTAGACAGAAGTTGACGTTTGCAGCTGGCAGAATACACTGTAGAACAACAGGTTCTTTCAAGTACCCACTTATCGCGTGCTTAAACTTAGGCGCAGTACAGTCAGATCTTGTTGGTGTTTGCACGCCGAGATCCAGGGCTGTAGGGTATCGCATGCTGCCGTCCTCAAAGACGTCCCAGCATGAAAATGCAAGCCTATACTGGGTTTATTATCAGGCTAATATATATATTGAAAAGGGCACTGAAGATGATTTGAAGGTGATAGAAGTAGGCCGCCTGATATTGTTCAAGGTGAGGATGAGAGCAAGCCAGGTTGTGGAATGGACTGCGTGACCACATTAGTGCCGTGATTAGGCTATAACATACGCGTCTAAATTTGTGGTGAATTTGTCTGTGTAGGGCTTGGTAATAGAAAAGGCTTTAGGCCTATTTTGACAAACATGGAAACAGGAAACGAAAGTCACGAAAATCTACCAGCACAGTTGGTTATTTTCCTCTATAGACATAACATGGAACGGGTGAAATTGAATGACGTATGTCATCAATTACGTCACTCCACACTGAAAATCCCTGTAACGCATTAATTTAATGATCGGTACGTTCGGGTAGAGGTCCTACCGTATCCTACTATTCGTAAACTCAAAATCCTTCGTTGATTGATTGATGATTGGTTTGGTTGGCTTATTGATTGACTGAATGATTGATATGAGTGAATGATTGATTGAGGAATGGATTGGTTAATTAAAACAAAACAGTCTTGTCTTGAGGGAGGAAAAACGTTCAATGTGCACCGTACTAAACATATCACTGTCTGCATGCAAGTATCACTGAAATGCTAAAAAATGCAGTAAAATGAACGCATAAATTGTCACGGTCAGTAAACGCACAATAGGAACTTGCGCAGTGTTGATACCATCAATACAAACTAAATGAATTTCTAAGTCACCTGTAATGAGTCACGTATAATGATGATTCACATCTTCTGAATGAAAGTTTTCCAAACCGATTATTTCGATCGAATGTCACAAAAATGCGGCCGTGAAAATAAACACATTTGTACCAGAGCTTTTTAAAACTTCGATTTTAATTGACCTAAACCACGGGAAAGAACAAAAGCAGTCAAAACCTAACTGTGTTTAAAATTATAGCAAAAAACCACGGGGCCAATTTGTAAATTTCAAGCAGAAATATTAGATTTTTGGAGTATTTGCGTAGTACCGGTATATAATACGTAAATTCGAGTATTTTGGTGTAATCCGAAATTTTGCGTATATTGTTTTTGCGTAGACGCAGACGCTCCGAAATCAAAGTAACTAGGCATAGGCCTGCATGCAATATTGAAACAGTTGTAAAGAATACATTTTAAATTGTTGTACAAAGAGCAACGTTATGTGTTGCCATGGCTTAAAGCAGGCTCCGGAAGGAAACATGATGCGTAGTAAAACAGATTTTTCTTACAGCACAGAAAGTAACCGTTTCTGAATTTTTCGTCAAACACCGTTTTTTCATTGCAGACTGGCTTCAAGAAAAGCAATTTTGTCGGTATAACCGCTATACAGTACGCTTCAAAAAGGTATCCTTAAAAAGTAGCAGCATAAGCCGACCATCAAGGTTAATAAGGCATTTTGTTCTGAAGTCTTTCCATGAAATATGTGGCATTATGAATGTAAACAAAGATATCGAATGAACGATTATTGTCCTGCTGAGTAGCAGATAGAATAATTACTTTGTATGGATTGCTTTCAAAGAGGCGTTTGTTCCTGATTATTGGGAATTAGAGGCCAACAAGTTTCTTTTCAGGTACCGGTAAGTTTATAATAACGTTGGAATTGGCATCCAACATTTTGGTAGCGGATAGAGCATTATAAGAAACGGTAGCAATTTGGAAAGAATTGGTCCAGTGATACAACCAATCTGCATTTTCGTTTAATAATAATCCGGATGATTATGATGACGATGATGATGAATAATGCAAACCAAATTAATTTTTAAGTCACGTGTAATGATGCTTCACATCTTCTGAATGAAAACGTTTTCCAAACGGATTATTTCGACCCAATCTCACAAAATGCGGATAATGATGATGATGACGATGATGAGAATGATGACGACGATAATGAATGACAATGATGGTGATAGTCTGCTGCTGATGCCACTACAAGCTATAGGGTATTTTAGTGTAAATTTAGAGCTGAAAATATAATGTTTTTTAAACTAACTTTGTATGCTTTCCTGTATGAAGTTGAAGTTACAAGTAAACATTATTTAGGAAGTTCATGAAACATCATCGAATGCATGTTAAATCTACAATACCATACTACATTCTTATAAGTGTTTATTTGCTAAAATTTTAAGTATAGATACTTTGCCCAAAATACTCTGGAAGAAATGTATAGACATTCTTTATTGTCCTTCTGGTCGGTTGAAAACCTATGGTGATCCTTCTCTGTTGCTGCATCTAAGTTGTGGAACGACTTACTATTTCATAACGTCATCTACATCTTTTGCCCAATTTAAATCTCATCTTTTTTCACAATTCTAATCTTCCTTTTTTCTTTTTTCATCTTGTGTTCTCTTTCGTTTGTCTTGACAATGGGTAAAGAGCGTATAGAAACATTGCGCAGTATTATTCGTTATAAAAATGGAAGACAGTCACCATTACCATTACATGCTTAGGCCTATATACTTTAAGCTTGGTCACTTAACTTATTAATGATTCATCATGGAAGTTCAATGACCATGTGGTACACAAACAAATGGTATCTGACGGAACTTATTCATATCGAACCTGTTTTAATCCGGGAGCAATAATCTCAAATCAGAAAAAGTTGAACGGCTGTCAAAGCGCCGTAGAGACTGCTAGCCGAGGAAATACGAGCGGTACGGCATCTACCCCTAGAGGATATGACATCTGGTCTACACGTTCCGAGACTCGACCATACCGTCAGGTTTCGATTCAATGGTCCAAATCATAACACCATTTTAAAGGTGTACAATATCTATACCAGCTACAATTTTACGTTATCCTGGTTATGGTAACGTTGCAGAGTGGTGCCCAAAACGTGTATTTTTTGTAGATGAAAACTTTTTGGTAGGCCAACATCTCTGCTGCTGGAACACTAGTGCCTGATTTCTATATATTCATATGTTCATGTACCATCATGATTATTATGTATCATGATCATCACTGTTCGATGAGTCCTTGAATTTCAACACTCAGGTGGCAGATGATGTTAAGATTATTAACAGATCCTTCAAATCTATAAACAAAAAACGCTTCCTTCATGTTTATAAGTCAATAGTTAGACCTACATTAGAATATGCAAATGCAGTGTGGTGTCAAATGTTAAAAAAAGATGAAGATCTTTAGGAGAAAGTCCAGCAGAAAGCAACTAGATTACTAGTAGAAACACGACATCTTGAGTATCTAGATAGGCTGAAGTTGCCAACATTAATGTACAGACGCCAAAGGGCTGAGATAATACAAATTTTCAGGATAGTGCATGAAGGGGTTTGATAACTTAAACTTTCACCGCTTTTTTTTTAGATGGGCACCAACACACGAATCCGTGGCTATGGATGGAAGATAAGAAACACTGCAAAATTAAACTTCGACAAAATGCCTTTTCAGTCAGTATGAAAGAATAGAAATGCTCTTCCATCTGAAGCTGTGAATGCAGTTACAGTAAATTCCTTTAAGTAAGCTTTCGAAAAACACTGGGAAAACCACCCTACAAAAATGTATACCCTACCTCAGAGAAACTGGACAAGCAACGAGAGAATGACAAGCTTCGCTTCCAGAACCATGATCATCATTTAGCCATTATGATGATGAACCCTGTTAACTTGACCAGTGGAGCTGGTAATGTGCATGGTCTACCCTCAATAATATCTGGTTGGCTGACTTCTTGCACTAATGCAATTTTTTTAGTTTTCTACTATAACATTACTTTTTCTCATAGACCTACAGAAAATAGTAGATAACAACTGAATCACGGTTCAAAATAAGCAAGTCTAACTAACTAAAGAAAAGACGAAAGCTATAAGGCACTATAGTTCGCTGAAGTGAATCTGCAGTATATACAGTGAGACAGCGACACTAACAGAGTTAAAAAGGATTGAAAACCCGAAGCACACTATGGTGTAATATTTAAAAAAAGTAGTGTAAAATCGTGTTTTGCTTATAAAAAAACACAATATATCACTCTACAAATTACATATCAATGACCAAAAGACAATTTCCATATTCAGGTTCCAGCAAAGTTTGGGTATTACTTAATCTGACAAGGTGAAACATGACTACTTTTGTGGTAAAGAGACACATATGATAATTATGTACACGAGAATCCTGGTCTGCTGGGTTCACAATATTGCCCTGGTTTACCAAATTCTATAAAGATTTTGAAAACTGACACTAAACAAACTTTTGACGTCATGGAACTTGGTTTTTTCATGAGGTAGAGTATGTAAGAAATGATAGGCCTTCATGTTGCGGTAACAGGTTTTTACACCTTTCAGTTGTCGAAAGTAGGCACGAGCACCCTATTTACCACCTGAAACCCATCCTTAAGTCTCTATTGGCTCCCAATTATTCAACAGCACATTATCTGGAGTTTGTTGAGATTTAAGATGCTTACATCAATGTATACTTATTAAATCTATTTATCGTGTCCACACACTTGCTAGATAGGCCTATATCTTTGTTTCAGCCATAGCTGAACACAGTTTCTACCACAGACATTATACTCTGCCTGCCAGGTCCATCAGATGGAATGATGAAAATGGTGATACAAATAGATGTTGACTCGATCTTGAGTGTAATTGTGTACAATTAGCGTTATCCAGCAGGGCCGCGATGAGGACCCCCCTACTTATTAAATTACACCTAACCCATTACGTACAATCCTCTTTGTTCATTTCTCGATATTTTCAGACTTTTTTCTGTCCAAGCACCCTTCTAATTACAGGGGTGGATCCAGAATTTTCGAACAGGGGGGGGGGACATACAGCAGTTTGAGAATAGATAAGTGAGAGCACATAACATTTAAGCATTGAAATTTTAGAAATTATAGTTGCAAAACAGGGGGCGGGGGTGGAGAACGTGCCCACCTACTGGATCCGTGCCTGGATAGAATTGAAGATTTTCGACCACATGGATGTTGTTACTATAAATAGACACCGGAAGTGTGAGTAACCACATGTTTTTGAGACACGCTCATGTTTCGGGCCCTGCTCTGATTGCCATTGGTCGGTTGTTAACTATGATTGGCATTCCAGAAAGAAACATACATATTTAAAAGAATGATGTTAATTTTGCCTTCTTTACTCCACTCAGCAGCCTTGAAAAATTTCGAATGGTTTCTATTTCTGTTATTAATATAATTCATACTTTTATATGATACAGTACAAAAAGAAAGGTTAATTTAATTTGATGTCTAACATTTTTAATATCAATTACTATGTATATATATATATCAAGGTGATTGTGTAGGCATAACTATCCTCTAACTACACATTTAGAAAAAATCTTTTCAGCAATATATACGAAGTAGCGAGGCTGAGATCAAGGCCTGTACCTCTAACGACATTACAACCAAAGTAAATGTACAATTTTTAAAATAATACTTTTGTCTTGGTACTGCTACGTATCAATGTATTTCTAATTCAAGAATTCAATTTTAGCCAATATCTCATCAGTCAAAAGTACAGTATAATAGGTAATTTTTAAGAATAAACTCTTGTACAGATATATTTATATATAAACATAAAATAAAATAAATATAATACATAAAATACAGCAATATAATGTCACAAAAAATAATGACAATACTACTATTATAGGAGGCTGTTTTGCCCTACATGACGTATTATTTTACCGAATACTCAAGAAAAAATTTTGCAAGTGATTTGGGTGGGATTCACTTGCAAATTTTGTCCACAAATATTTGGGAATGTACTGAGTATTTGGTAGGATAAAATTTCAGGTAGGGCAAAACATCACTCCAATGATATTTTCCTGATGCAAACTCACATTGATATAATACTATTAACAATATAACAAATAAAATATTAATAATAATAAACCAATCACATGCATATTTACTTGACTATTTGATTAAGGAAGTCAAATCTAAGTCAGTTCCAACTAATATACCTGTTGTTAATTATGATATTGTTTGTCATCAACAAAGACAAAATGTCAATAATAATCAATGTTTTAATAATTCAATAAATGCATTGCCACAGGAATATTAGGGATTCAACTAGTAACAGTATGTATGGTCTTATAAATGATAATTGATATAGTATATTGTATAACCTTTATGAAGTATAGTAATAATAAATAAGGGACAGTTTATACGAGGTCAATGAATATTTTAAAGACTTCCTATCCCCTGAATACAGTCACAGCATCTTAATGGTCAACTTTATTGACACTGCCATAGCAACAATAAAGTATAATATGAAAATGATATAATCACAACCAAGGACGACACTAATTCCAGGATGTATTATATTACAATACTTGTTATTGGTCAAGCAATTTGCTCTTCAATAACAAGTATAATATACAAAACATGTTATTGGTCAAGATATTTACTGTTCATAACCATAAAATAACTGGACAAATAAAAAAGTTTGCAAGAAAAAAAAAATGATTTTAGCTCTTTAAATTGTGCTTATTGACTTTTTATTCACAGGCTAGCTTTATAATTACAATAATATTTCTCAGTTAGACACTACGGATGATGTATTCCACCAAAGTTTTTAAATTTAGATGTTAGTTTCTCATTTGTATACTTTAATGCTGTTTTATATGTCTTTATTTAGCTATATATTTAAATCTCATGTTTATATAAGGCATCCTGTTATTGGTGCAACGCTGTTGGATGTAGTTTTTAAAATAAAGAATGAAGACCATATTATATATAATGATATTACTATAAGCCCATATTTATTTTCCTCATCTTCCATATGATTACTCAACCTCAACACACTTCATATCAACCACATTATTAAATCGAAAAAACCATAATCTAGGCCTAGACACACCTTATTATTACTAACATCAAGGTACCTCATTACTAACCCCAGGGTACATTGTTACAGCCCCAAGAACCCATTACTAACCACAGCCCCTCTGTTGTACTGCTCTCTATGCCCTATTACATTCCAACCGATCTTTAGAAATTTTGATAAGACAAGTGCACCCACTCAACCAAACAACACAGTTATTGTCAAGAGTCAAGTTCTCTCAGCACACATTAACAAGGTGTTGACGATATTATTACACTACTTGGCTAGGCTATTGAGAAAGGCCTGGACGATGATAGCCTAAGTGATTAAGAAGGATGCGGTTCAGATAGCCCAAGCCAGCAGGAGGGAGCCATTTGCGGCGTTTCTTAATTACCCAGCACCAGGGGCCGATGTTTGGAAATACCAGAACTCAAGACTTTAAACATGTAATCCGAGCTGGAAGCTCAGTTAGTAATCCGAGCACGATGTATGATGAGGAATATCCTGAAGTAAAAGCAAATGCCCGCTTTTATCAAAACAGAAATGCATGATGGGAAAAATACTATTAACATCCTGCCCTCAGGGCAAATAAAACATGACAAAACTATTGTTTTACAAGCAACTTGTAGCAGTACATATTTTTGTAAATTGGATGATGTTAATGCGGTATGTCAAATTCGATTGAACATAATATTCTTTAAATCAGTTGAGGTACTTACAATCTAAAAATGATTAGAGATAACAAAAAACAAAATCTGTGATTAACCATACAAATAATACACCATCGCAACATCAACAGAAATCCGTTATTTCTTACAAATGTGTATAAATGCATGTCTTAATTTATTCCCATGCAAATCTATTTTTAACTTTGACCAAAAGTCAAATTCCAGGGCAACTAAATTTGTAGTGCAAATGTAAAGTAAAATGCCCGGAGGAGTAGCGTTGACTGGGTGGTACAGTTTCAACAATACCGCTACACACTCAAAATCTCATCACACCATAGATAACCTTCGACCTCTCCACTGGCAATGCAACATACGAGACTTGGTTTAATATGACTTGACAGATTGAAGTTTAAGTGTATCAGAAATAGCTATTGTGGCAACCTGAAGGAATAAATGGTGTAAATATAGGACTACAGGGAGAACACTGAGGATCTTAGGAAGAGGGGTTCACAGAGGGCAGAGGCCTACTACTCTAGTAATTGAAACTATAGGAACCAATGGCCAAACAGTGGTACATTTATAACTTTTATGAGTATACAAGATTTTGATAATTTGCTCCCACTTACACAAAATGCCTTCAAGTAAAGTTTGAATCATTTTTTAAACAATAGTTCTTTCCTATCAGAGTCATTCAACTTTTCTTTTTATGTATTCTTTTAATCGTTTTTATCATTTTATTTTTAATGATTATTATTGTAACCATATTTCATTGTTAAATTAATTGTGCTTCTTTTGTTTTTGATTTCATCAATATGTTTGATTATCAATGAAAGAATTCAATAAAAGAATTGAGAATTGGGTGAAACCAAAGTAGGGTACATAAATAACAGTAAAGACCCTCAATGTAGATTGTATGAAGAGGAACTAGAAATTTGGGGGACAATGGTGCGTAAGCCCCACCTCAGATAAAAAGTTCCACAAATCTGTGGTACTGATGAAGAAACAAATGTTTTGGCTCTGCAATTCGTCAAGATAATAATTGAAGATGACAATATTTATATTTGATAAAAATGATTGAATGTATAATAACAATAATAATTATAATAAAATAAGATTCATAATAATAACAATCTGGAATATATATAAATTTATCCTCAGTAAGTCAGAGGAACGTCTCAACTTTCTGACTGTACAAAAACCCTCTAGCAAAATATGGCTTCAATTGCTTTTCAAAAAGATGTCCTATAGTTTTTGCAGTTTACATAACATCAATACATGATGACAATAATCATAATTTATAGTTTTCTCATCTTCATGAACACCTGGGCAGGTGAGTGCCAACTTATTCCACAGGTGTATTCCCTAATTGGGTTACTAGAGCATGGTAGTGTATTAACCATGCTGGCGTACCACAGGTGAAATGACAACCGAACACCAGCAATCCAATCCATTACTACCAGCGTCACTAGGCCCGCAGGTAGAAGTCCCAAGGGTAAAAAGTAGTTTCCTCACTACAATCCCTTTATTTATCCTGATTATCCTGCACAGATCTATATATGGTATCTCCTTAGGGAAGGGCACTACCCTGTATGCTTTTTGGTATCCAGCTGCGATGCCACCTAAGTTCACTTTTTCCTTGTCGGCTTGCAAGATGAGATGCTGGTCTTAGGCCTGAGCTCTGTAATATAATTAACTAATTGTAATAAATGGAAAGAATTTTCTGCAATGAAGTAAAACCACCATACATAGTTCTCATCAACGTATACATTTATATGTTTATTTACATTTATTTTCTTTATACTGGTAACCTGTTTAATAGGATTCTACTATTCTTCCACAGGGCCCAGTTATGCTTATAAACTAAGGCTGGGCCTTTTTTAGCGACAATCCTACGCGCGTTCATAATTTTTAAAGTTTTTGCAGATTTGACACGCTGAAGAAGATTTATTGTGCGATGTCTGCCTGCAGGCGCTTTTCTATCGCTAAGTTTGGCATGTTGGATTTTCAGGTCTTTACAACAAATATTTAATTGGATTAGCTGCAATCTTTATCAAGAAAATCGTAAGTATAAATGGGCCCTATGTCTCATAATGATGCATTTTACCCACCAAGCAATTCCACTTCACTCCAACTGAATTTTTTTTTTTTTTTTTTTTTTTGGGGAGGGGGGGGGGTGTGTGAATCTGTTAATTTTTCTTTGAAGCTTGGACGAGACTTTTTTTATACCTTGTCTCGCGAACTTATTTTTTTAAAGATCATCAGAAAAGGGCGAAAAAATATTTTAAAAAAAATATTGTTTTCTTATTTAGCAAATGGTTTTGCCAAAAGCACACAGACGGAGGAGAAAATAAATAAAAAATGTTATTGTTTAATGTAAACAGTGTAGTGTAGTGTGTGTGTGTTGTGTTAATTGCTTTAACTTTATTAGGAAGAAATATACATCTTAATTTTGGAGATTTCAAGGCAGCGGTGGGCGTAATGAAAATAAAGAAAAACTTTCATTTTTTTTCTGAAATTTCCTTTTCTTTTGTGTCAGCAGGTGCGCTAATTGGCCAAAAAATAAAATTTTATTTTTATTCGAAACCATCAATACTGTCGAGAGACGGTTCGCTAAACAAGTTATAAAAAAAGTCTCGCTTGGCAACTGTACAGTGTTACTCTAAATTTGTCAGTTTGATTCAACTCTCTTTCCTAATATATACCATCTGTTGTGAAGTCTGGAAAATCTCAAAAATCCTATAAAAAATTGAATTGCTCAATTAAATATGTTATCTATTTATAACCAAAGATCGATAAAATTCAGTTTTCACTAAAACAAGGTACTCCTCTGTATATTAGCCTTTTGCTGAAAATTAGAAGTTTAAAACAGACACAAGAAATTGTTTAGTTCTTAGCATTCAAACCTACCTTGATCGGGGGCTTTGACAGCCATCCTTTTAGGATTAATGTAATGAGTCATTACTTCACTGTCATTGGTCAACTGAACATCCTGGTCACCATGCTGGGTGTTCCTATGAACCAATCAAAGAAAAATTTGAAATTATTACAGATGACACACAAATGCTAACATCAAAATCATTTTTTTTTTATTAATTAATTTTCATGTGTTTTTAAAAAAATGTTTTTGTTTTTTGGGAGATTATTTAATTAATATTGCTGCTCTCTATAACTATAATAACAAATTAAAAATATACCATCACAAAAATCAAACTAAAACCTGAAAATAAAAAATAGATAATAATTGCTGATTTTATATACAGGTCTCTAATTAAAGACTCCTTCAATAAAAGACGACTGTGGTCCCATATTAACAAATGTCTTTTATCTTTATTATTCTAATTAGAGACCAAAGGCATTAAAAACCATGGAAACCATCATAGAAGTGGTCCGTAATTGGAGGGAGACCTGTATTTTAATAGGGAGCTTCGATTGCACGACGACGGTAGGACATAAAACGTAATGACGTCGCTAAAAGTCATCTGCGCATGCGAGAACGTTAAGGTCACCTCGAGTAGATTCTGGAACGTAATTTAGCCAAATCTACGAATGCAGAGAACGTAGGACGCCAGGTAGGACGGCCACGCATGAGTGATTCTGTTCTAGTGTCGCATCGTCGCACAAATCAAAAGCTCTCTATTAAATACTAGCAAGCACCTGAAAAATAGAGGTATAAAAAATGTTTGTTGAACCTACTTAATAATTGTGTGTTTCTCCTTTCTTCGTAGTTCCTCATTGTTTGTGAAGAGTATTGTATGGTACTGAGTTGGGACATCACAGGTTGGCAGGATGCCCCTGGCACCTGTTGACACTTGACCTAGTATTCCATTGTACACCAGCAGATCATCAACCAGAAGCTATCACAATACATACAATGTAATAATTTAATATAATATAATAATATATAATACTATAACATAACTAGTATATAATATGAGGCTTACCATCCCAAAACCAGCATACTAAATTTAAACTGAGTAAATAGCATAAGAATTTGGCAGTACTGTATTGTATACTTTAGTACAGAGAAGTTGTAATACTTTTACTCATAACTTTGGCAATATTAAGTCGATTACAGTAAATGACCCATCATTTTAAAGCTTATAATGCAGAGAATAAGAATATATATATATATAAAAAAAAATCAATTTTGGTCACAAATGCTGGTTTTGGCATAGCAACCACCATATATTATAATCATAATGTTTTGCATTAAAACAAAATCTTAAGGATGTACAGTATTGTCCCATGCTAAATACCAAAAAAATCATTAAAAATTTTTTTTGAAATTAATTATGTCATCATCAGTAATAATTCATTTCTGATGACATAATTAATGTCGAAATATTGAATCCCAACACGATGGCATGTATTTCAATATATTGAAATTAACTTGCCCATTTTGAAGTAAAATAAAAGTTATTAACTTGAACACAGCAATTAGTGTATTTAAAAAAATGTCTACCCATCAGTTTACAGCGAAAAAAGATAGAAAAACTTCCAGTCACTGGAAGTGTTTTATTACTTTTATTATATTTTTCTGATTTAAAAATCAGGGTACACATTTTTTAAATTCAATACTTTCTTATGCAAGTTAATAATTTGTATGTTATTGCAAAATGAGCAAGTTGATTTCAAAATTAATGTTTATTATTTTTTTTGACATTAGCAAGGGACAATACATCTTTAACACAGAAATTTCTTGATTAGTTTCTTTTGTATTCATTGGAAACTGAAAAAAAAATGCATGTGTGTTCATTATGAATTGAATATTACATACACTGTTTTCATTGGAAGCCTAAAACTATACATGTTATCACAGGCAATGACATTACATGTATAAACACACTCGACAGCTACCGGTGAGTCACAGACTACAATAACAACTTTGAAAAAAATTTATTCCGTACCCCAAATTCTTTGACTCCTCTTTGAGGAGTTTTACTGTAATTCCACAGTTTGATCATGGAAACAGTTACTGGTTCATCAAACACTACATACACCAAATTGATCTGAAAATAAATTTAAATAATATATATTACGAGTGGTTTATCCAGTAGTTGCTCTGTATTTATTTTATAAGATTACTTGTTAAGCGAGGTCAAATGTGATTAGTCGGTACACTGGAGACAATCCACTACTATTATCTCTGACAATGTTACAGAATATAAAAATGTTTACATGGGCAATAATATGCATAAATGTTACTTCTTAAATACAACATTTCCGCCAAATTTGTAATGAAAATTGCGGAGAACCTGTCAACTGCCACTGGGAGACTTCCAGAAAGGTCTAGCATTTCATCACGGGTTAATTAAACGATAAATCTACATTACTAACGAACACAAATATTTTAAACCGGAAAAAGAACGAAACATTGATATCAAAAACAAGTCAAGTCTTAAAAAGCTATTTCAATGTTTACATACACAATGGCCTGT